AGGTAAGGCTCAGTAGCGTCTCAAGTTCTTACATCGTGAAGTTGATTTTTGGACAGATTATACATTTTGTTCCAAATATTTTTTTTTGGGTTTTACCAAACTCTAAAAATAGAACCTTCCAAAAGTCATTTTTTTATGTCCACTTTTTACATCATTACAATCACGAGCTAAGCCGACATTTTCCAAATACCAAGGAATTTTAGTGGGTTTAAGTCCGTCATAAATACCCTACAATCTCGAGTTACACAACCACCAAAACAGATTGCACATTCAACGAGTGACATTCTTTTTGGGGTCTAAACTCATCATTTTTCAAGAATTTTAACACCACTTTCAAGATAGCAAAAATAAGTAAAATCTCCAGAAAGATTATTTCCCGATTCTATTGAGTTTTTGAGGAAGATAGGGTAGATAGGGTAGATTAAAGATGCATGCAAGACCCTATCATATTCCGAAGTATACCTTTCATGAATAAACTCTACATGTAAACGATTTTTCCCTACTTTAGTAAAAATCTAAGAATATGGATCATAGATTATCGTCCATTTGAAGACATTTTTATGTTTGTGACTCATAATCTCCCCCCTCATACTTTCTAGAAATTTGTTGCAAGATCGAGATGTAGGAGAAGAAGGATAAAGCCTTTTAATGATTTGCAAAAGTAAGATAACTAGTATCATACCTTTTTCTTATAATCTTGGGAATCTTCAAGATTGACAGAATTCCTAAGCTTGCTTGATGATGGAATCGGCTGGAGGGTGATTGATTTTTAGATAGAGATGAAAGGGTTCTCAAGCTGTCGATATTTTGGATAAATGAGAGTTTTTCAAAATGAGTGGGGTATTTATATGAGGATTTTTAAAGAAAGAAGTGCGCTGGCCCCTCAAGGCCCAAACCCAATAAAACTTTTTATTATTTTTCAAATTAACTATAAACCCTCTATAATCTACCCAAACATAAATAAAACGACATTACTAATTTCAAAACTCTGTCTTTTAATAAATTATGTGGACATTCAAATGAGACTTTTGTATTTTAATTTTAAAAGTTTATAATATCAACTTTATTTTATTTGGAACGTTTCTAAAATATTTGGTATTACACAAGTTAACTTTATCAATTGCCTGCTGAGGCGGATCTTCCAAGCTAAACTTTGGGTACTGAGTCAGATGTACTCTAACCACCATGATTAGATCCTAATAAATTTATAATTCTAAATATAGTATCTATAATAAAGTGCCAACCTGAAACTCCGAAATGACAGAATGTCACAGTAGCCCCCAAAACAGATTGCACACTCTTCGAGTGGCGGCCATTTGGGGGTCTAAAATCAATATTTTCCACAGATTTTAAATTTGATTTAAAGCTAACACATTCAGCTAGCTTCTAGAAGAAGATTCACCTATTTTAACGAGTTTTTACAGAATATAACCAATTTAAGATGCATGCAAGATTYTGTCWGTGATGTTCTTTTCGCACGATAATCTTGCATTTAGAACTTCACGGTTCAGAACTTAACTTTATGGCCAAAAACCCACATGCAAGTAACTTTACCAACTTTTCTTGAGTTGTAATCATTTGCAGATCATAGATTACCATCATTTGGAAGACATTTTCATGTCATTGATGTATAATCTCCCACCTTAGATTCTCCAAAAAGTTCGTTTTATAAAAGAGCAAGAAAAAGTGTAGAAAGTGGGGAAAATCTTGATGAAGAACGGGAATGATGAAGCTAGTCCCTTACCTTTTGAATGAAAACTTGAATAATCCTCAAGGCGGATTAAGTTCTTAATGACACTAGAAGGTGAAATCGGCTGGAGAGTGAGTTCTAGAGAGAGAGAGAGAGTAAGGAGATGAGAGGTTTATACAAAGTGAAGATGATAATGAGAATTTTCAAAGAAATCGAGGTATTTATATGAGGGATTAAGAAAAGAAATGGGCCGGCCTCAAAGGCCTAAGTCCATTTAAAATTATTTTTCTTTTAAACAATTTATGGCCCATTAGATTTATATCAAAATACAATTTGTTAAATATATTATTATTGTTATTAAATCAAAACTTCACCTTTTTGGCCAAATTATTTGGGCATTCAAATGATTCTTTTATATTTTTAATTTGGACTTCATAATATCAACTTTATTATTTTTGGAGCATTTGATAATATATTTTGGCATTACATACGTTAACTTTATCCGCTACTTGTCGAAACAAGTTCACTGAACTATAATTTAGGAACTAAGCCAGATGAATTCCAATCAATCATGACTAGATCCTAAATAAATATAGCTCTAAATATAAGTACTCTACAAAGGTGCTAAGTTGATGCTCCAAGAGTGACAAATGTCACAATTTTGGAGTTTTCAGAACAGAATTTGGGTACCGAATTATGGTAATCTCAGAGAGCATATCTTGAGGGAGGCTCACAAATCACGTTTTGCAATTCATCCAGGTACGAATAAAATGTATCAGGATCTGAAGCAATACTCTGGTGGCCAGGTATGAAGAAAGATATAGCCAAACATGTTGAACAATGTATGACATGCGTTGGTCCCTTGAGGGTCTGCAAGGTAAGTAAAACAGTTTGTAGAAGGGAGGGGGGATGAATACAAACACAATATATTCAAATTTAAAATGTATATTGATAAAGAAGATCAATACAAATTTTACAAGACTGTTTGCTGAAAGATAAGGTTAGAAAACCTATCAAAACAATCTTTGGTTACACACAGATTCTTAGCAAATAAGAAAAGAAATGTTGTAAGAAAAGTTTCTTTGCTTAAGCTAGAAAACGCTCAAATAAGAATTAAGTTTAGAGAGTGAGTTGTGTGCACTCTGCATGGAGAAGAAACACTTCTATTTATACCCAGTGCATTAAATGTTCATTTAATGCAAAATGGTAGGGTTAGAGTGCGTGTCAAGCCTTAAGAGGAAGGCTTGTCTTTTGCTACAGTGAATAGTACAAAAAGTACTATTCATGAGCAGACATCCTTACCTAAAGTTGGTGGGCAATAGAGTCAACTAGTTGGCTCCATACCATACCAACGTTTAGAATGGTGGGTTTGTCCTTTGTGTGTATGAGGACAAGACAACAACAATCGTGCTAAGCAAGCTTCCTTTGATCGTTGAATGTTGGAATAACCTGGAGGTCTCTTCTTATTCGCTGAGGCTTGAGCAGTCTTCACACATATGTGGACAGGCTTGTAATCACTGAGTACCGCTTCAGATCACGTACTCGCCAATCCCTAATCTTCAGTTTTTAGTCATCGACATTAGCTAAAGGTTCTTTGGTGTGAGTGTTGTCTTCTTGAAGTATTGTTGTTTCTGATTGAATTTACAATACAAGTTCTTCAGCGATCATTGAATAGACTCAGTGATGATCGCTGGAACTGAAAAGACAAAAACATAAATACAACGTGCAATTGAAAAGAGATTATCATCAAATCACTAAGAGAAAGGATCAACAATATCCCCCTATTTGATGATAACAAGACGACATAAAGAAGGTTGTCTTATCAAATAATAGTAAGGAAAAGTTATATATAAAGTACTTGTCCCTTTTTACTACTTTTGGGATACTTTTCACTGAGTCAGTTCTGCTTGAGAATTTTCCTTAAGTTATATCTAAGAGAAAATTACAAGTATGGAAACTGAAACTAAAAGCTTATTCGTTGACTTATAGATTGTCAGTGAATGTAAAAAGTAACACTGAAACTTATAGACTTGTGTCCCTATTACTTTTTCAGGGATCTTTTTCAGTGAAGTACATGAAATACTCATTTTATCATCATTGGTAATATTACAAGTAGTTCATTACATGTCTTGTGCTTACAGACTATAAGAATAATCACTGAAAGTAGACATACTACAAAAAGTTACAAGGAAAAGTAGATTGTTGTTACAAAGAGAAACTATTCTAGAACACTTAGATCTATGTAGCTAGGTACATCTTCACCAAGGTTTCTTCGACATAGGCATTCCCTTCGTATCTTCAGACAATGACTTTTCCAGGCATGCTATCATCTATCCAGAGCAAGAGGCAAACCAAATGACCCATTGAAAATAGATGTAGCTCTGACATTCTCTGAAATCTGACTTCACCTTCATAGTCAAGGAATGTAACTCCTAACTCAGGTTTAAAATCCATAGCATTGGGTGTATAGGGACCCTTATCTGGCAAGCCAAGATTCAGCATAGAAATGTCTATACTCTGATGACCCTTCAGGACTTAATCTAAACTTTGTTTCATGTTTGTTCCTTAGGAATGGTCCATCATTAGGATCAGAGAGCTTGAGTTTCTTCTTCCCACATTTCTTCAGAGATGGCCTGTCAGGGACCGCGACATACCTGGACATCCTTTTGATGAGATCGTTGATGGTATCCTCGATAACCATCTTATGTCTTGACTTAGATCGCTGAATGGCTTGCCTGATTGTCACACCCCGCTAAAGCTGTCAAAAGATGTCACAAGATGTGACACTAAATTTGCTAACTCTCGATTCGGACTTCCTCAGGTGTCACAAGATGTGACACTAAATTTGCTAACTCATGGAATCGAGCAGTATATGCAACTATGTTCTCCCCTTCCATCTCATGGATCCATAACTCCATTTCCAACTTTTGGAGTTCACTCATTGGACAGTATTCGTCCTTAAGTAGTTTCTTGAACTCCTCCCATGAAAGTTGGTTGGTCATTTCCCGACTCCTAGTCTGAACTAATGTGTTCCACCATGTCAGTGCTCGGCCTTGCAGTAAGAATGCATCGTATTCTACCTTATTTGCTTTAGTGCATTTACTGATATGGAGGAAAAATTCCATACTCCCAATCCAGGTTAATAATCCTACGGCTCCCTCGGTTCCATGGAATTCTTTTGGGTTGCAGGATCTGAAGGATTTATAGGTGCATTCCCTGGATGTTCTAGACTCAGAATTGGTTGGTTGGTTAGCGTTCAGGCCTACCGCTACCTGGCTGACAATATTAGGGAGTGCGGCCAAAAGTTGTTCTGACACGAGTCGTGCAACTTCAGGGTTTTCTCTTCTTGGCCGCATTTTCTAAATCCTAGATCAAACAGAGATTTGTTATTTCCATAATAATACCTTTGTTCAACAAATTCTAACCAACTAATTGATGCATAGGATATTCATCACTTTTTAAGCAGCATCCTGCAAATCAGCAATCCTAGTATCAGCACCACCAAAATACTCACCATCAGGCATTTATACAATCTCCTAATCTCTCGTCTAGCAGTGAGGACGGCATCCGAAGTCCTCATCATACGCTGGTTGTGCATCTCCACAAAATCTGACAGGTTGTTCAAGATATAGTGGTGATATCGCAGCCGAGTCTGGTGAGTTTAAGTCTCCAATGCAATACCCCGCACCCACTCTCGTTAATCCGGAGTCATGCCTTGGGTGTATGATGCAGGCATCCCGATCACCACTTGAGAGGTCCCGCTCCTATGCTGCGGTTGGGATGACTCCCCTCTTATTCTAGTGGAGTTCTCAAAAGTCACTCACCTTGGGAGTGCAACACTCTTCCTAGCTGTGACTCTAACCCTCGGACCTTGAAGTGTCTAAAGTGGAATAGCAGGTACTGGCTCTGATGCAAAAGGAGGCAGTACCGAAGCAGGTGATAATGCGGGGGTCTCACTATTCGCAGTCTCCTCATGCTCATACAAATCCTCCACTTTATCGATTGACGGGTTTCTTCCAGGTCGGATGGTAATATAGCCGGATTCATCGGCCGAGTACTCACTAGGAATAGACGACGACATGGTGAACTACTATATTAACAAACTTAATTACTTAATTACTAAAGGTACCACCTATCAGTGCTTAGGGTTAGGACAAAAGTTACTAAGCAGGGACTAAGGATGGCAAGCAAGCTAGAGCCTCTGGATGACCAGAGCTTCTGGTTGAAGTTCCCATATTCTGAGTAATATTTGACTTTCAGTTCATCGGCCTCTGGTTCAACATCCATACTTGGCAAAATAATAGATTTCTAGTTCATCGGCCTCTGATTCAACATACAACCTTAATGATGTAAAGAATTTCTAATTCATCGACCTCTTGTTCCACATACACAGTTAGTGATATAAAGGATTTCTAATTCATCGACCTCTGGATCAACATGCACACTTAGTGATATAAAGGATTTCTAATTCATCGACCTCTGG